GTGGGGCTGGAGCCCTAGCACCCACGTGCCCTCGGTTCAAATCCCGCCTGCAACGCGCGCTGCCTATAGCTCTTCGCTGGCCGCACGGTGCCTCAGTGGCTGCGGCTGACTTCCAGTGCCTGTAGGGCGGTCCCGGGGCCGCTCTCCTGGTCGCGAAGTCGTACAGTAGATTAAGAGTCGGGCCCAGCTGTCTTGCTCCTAGTGTTGTGAGACATGTGCCCCGAGCATGGGGCTGGGAGCCCGCTGCCCCCAGTGATAGTGGGCCAAAAAGCGGTGCTGTCTGCGTGCGCAGTGTAACTATCTTTCAAAGTTACGCATAAAAGATAAAGCAAAATGCAGGACTATGTAGCACTTTAAAGACTAACAAGATGGTTTATTAGATGATGAGCTTTCCTGGGCCAGACCCACTTCCTCAGATCAAAAAAATTTTGATCTGAGGAAGTGGGTCTGGCCCAGGAAAGCTCATCATCTAATAAACCATCTTGTTAGTCTTTAAAGTGCTACATAGTCCTGCATTTTGCTTTATCTTTTATGCGTAACTTTGAAATCATTTGATTATGACTATTTTGAAGCCATAGTTTCTGGTCTGCATTCTTAGTGGTACTTTTATAATGTTCACTCAGAGTAACTTTTTTGACAACAGTCACATTATATTATTTACCTTTTGACTAAATGGCCAAATAACCATGGGTGTATTTCCCAGTAAAACATTTCCCCCCTAGTGCAGATGATCCAAATATTTGTATCAATGTATCTGATAGGAATAGCTGAATGGTATTCTACAGTGTCTTGACATTTGAATTTTTTTGAATGTGTGTGTTTCATTATATCTTGAGTCCTTGTTAAAAAATTAACCCAGAGTATTCATTTATATTCATTTGAAAGCACTATTAATTATAACTTTTGTATGGCCTACCAGCACTCACAATGTTTTATTAATTCTTCTTTATTGGTGATTTTATACTGTTATAACTTAATTTATTTTTGTGGAGTTACTGTTATGCACCAATGTAAGTGAAAAGAGAATATAAAGCCCTGTATATTTTGTACTATGTGTAACATTTTAGCATTTTGTTTTAAAATTAATTCTGATATTTATAAACAAGCAGATGTACCCGGCATTTCTTGGGGCTTTAACTGAGGTAATTAAAAAAAATGAAAAATGAAGGCTAGAGTGAGAGTTCGGGGATAAGGAGACAGTTAGAGTGGAGGGTTAGGAGGTAAGGGAGGCTCAAGGCAGGGGCACGAAGGTGGAGGGCTCATGCTAAAGAAGTTGGGGGCAGGAATGTTAATGCAAGTAATTGACTAATTGTGTAGTCAATACAATTTGTATTGACTACAGGATGATTTGATAAGGTGCTCTGTCCCGGCTTGCTCTGGTCCTGGAGCTACCCAGCTGAGGCACTGCAGTTTAAATGTAGTAGGAGCTAGGTATGCAGGGAGCCCCAGCCACCACAAGTATAGGCTGCTGCCTCTTGGTAGCTTCCCCTAACATCCCTGCCCCCCTAGTTATGCTTCTAATAGAGGCAACAGTGTGGGGGGAGAGATCAGGTGGCACTGTGCAGATGGTGCTGTTGGGAACTGGCTTTTAAGTGAGCTCCTCCAGCATCAGTTCCTGTTCCTCCCCCTTTGCTGCCTCTGATAAAGAGACATCAAGGTGGGGGGAAGCAAGTAGTTGAGTACTTGACTCAACTAGTTAGGCTTCTCAGTTAATGGGGTTGAGTACTCAATTACTCGCTTACATCCCTAGTTGGGGGTGCAAAAGTCAAGGCAGGTGGGAGGTGCAGGGCTCATGACAGGAAGTGGGGAGAGGGATGGTGACTGCTTATGGCGACTAGAGTGGCACTGCTCTGGTGATGATGCTTCTCTGCAACCTGGGGCAGTGCTCCCCAGCCAGCGGTTCCTCCGGCGGTGCCAGGGCTGCACTCCCTGGAGGTTGGTTCCTCCCAGGATTGGGGGGGGGATCCCAGTCTGTGCACTTATTGGGTGGGTTTGGGCTCTGTGGGCCAGTCCCGGACTCCAGCTGCACCCTCTTCGGCCTGCAGCCTTTTGGAGGTGGGGAGCAGTTCCTGGCCTGCAGCTGTGCCCCCGGGCTTTGCTTGGAGTAGTGGCCACCCTGTCCTGCAGCTTATTGAGGAGGGGTGCCCTGTGGGCTAGCCCTGGCCTCCAACAGCCCCTCCGTGACCTGCAGACTGTTGGGCGGGGGGGACAGTTTTTGGAGGTTGTCCCCCTGCAGCTGCCTCCCTCCAGCAGCCCCCTTGTGGCCTGTAGGCTGTCTGGGGAAGGTGAGGTTCAGGGGGCTGTCCCCTCCTCCAGTGGTTCCCCCCATGTCCTGCAGGCTATCTGGGGATGGGCCAGGCTCCAGGGGCTTCCCCCCCTTTCCAGCTGCTCAAGCCTATAGACTCTCTGGGAAGGGGTCAGGCTCGGGGAGCTTCCCCATCCTTCAGCAGGTTCCCCCCACGTTCTTCAGGCTCTCCTTGGGGGAGGGCAGGCTTCTTTCCTGTTCTGGAGGCAGGCAAGATGGTGGAGCCCCAGTTCTGCTGGCCACTCCCTTTGTGCTGCAGCTGCCCCCTGTGGGCATCATGTCCCTCTTCTCTATAGACTCTCTGGGAAGGGGTCAGGCTCGGGGAGCTTCCCCATCCTTCAGCAGGTTCCCCCCACGTTCTTCAGGCTCTCCTTGGGGGAGGGCAGGCTTCTTTCCTGTTCTGGAGGCAGGCAAGATGGTGGAGCCCCAGTTCTGCTGGCCACTCCCTTTGTGCTGCAGCTGCCCCCTGTGGGCATCATGTCCCTCTTCTCTGTGCCCTTCCCTTTCGCATTGCTCTGCTCTTTGCCCCCTCCCTTTCCTTATTATTGAAAACAGTCTCATTCCTGGCACTTTTTGTGTCTTAGGCACAACCAAGCCCTGACCTTGGTTTAAGTTAGAGCAAGCTGCATACCAAATTTGGTGGTCCTAGCTCTCACGGTTTAGGTAAGAGGAACTATAGTGCTAGAGGAGCTGTACACGCATGTGGAACTGTGCACAGAACAGTAGAAGTTGAGGTTAGGCCTGATGATGATCAGGCACAGATCTCCTTCAGCACTTTCTTTAAAGGCACCCTTTGTGCATATAATCACATTTTTGTTTTGTATTTTAGAAGAATTCTGCTGCAAGGCTTGTAGTGGGATTTTGTTCAGAGTACAGTTTTTGTAATATAATGATTCAATTGCAATGTAATACAGCCGGTCCCCGGCTTACAAACGCATCAACGTATGACCAGGCACACTTACAACCATCCTCCCATTTAGTGCGACCCCGACTTACGAACGGCGATCCGCGCTTATGGACAGCGCAGTTCCATTGAAATGAATGGGGTCTGACTTACTAACCCATCGAGTTACAACCAAGTGCTAGGAATGTAACTCGTTCGTAAGTCGGGGACCAGTTGTATATGCTTTTGGTCTTGGTAGGATTTATGGAATACTATTGCCTTTCCGCTGAATAGTCATGTGAGTGCAGAATGATGGAATCTAGCATAACTTCAAGGAGCTGAACTTTCTCAGATTTCCAAATTAATTTTGGGAGCTGCTGAGTGCCATCAGCTCCTGTTAATTTCACCTATTATTTGTCCTAAGCCTAGTTCTCATCCTGTCCCAACTGCCCCAAATATCATCAACCTGTCTTTGTGTACATTATAGTATTCAACATGGAAACACAACTGTTAGACTAAACATTATTGATTGGTGATTCCAATAGGACAGACGTTTTAACTGAGCAATCAATACTTATGGGAGTTTGCTTTCTCTTCACACAGTTTAAATGGAATTAGTCTGATCTGCTCTTTATTCGGGTTCCTTCAGTTCTGGCCATTTCCTTTATTTAGTAGGACAAAGAAAAATACATGTTTAAAACACAATAACTTACTCATGCTTGATCTCAACCCAGAATATATTTTTACCTTTAAAATTTTGATTGAATATGTTTTGAATACTCAACATTCTTTTAAATTAAAAAAAAAACCATGAACAGAAAAAACCTCCAGGGATTTTTCACCTTCCAAACACTTTGTTTGGTTAATAGTTAGTTTTCTTTTAAAATTTAATCCATGGAAAGTATGCATTGCTCATCAGGATCTCTCTGTGTGGTGATGGTGGTGTTTTTTGTTTTAAAAAGATTTAAAAGTAGTTACAAGCCTGAGAGGTGCTAAGCAACAGCAACATCAGTTGGCAGGTAGCATCTTGGCTGAGTAAGGATTTGTGGGAGAAGGAATTAAATTATGACCAGTTCAAATGAGGCATACCAATCTTTCCAGAATGTTGTTACCCTTAACTTGAATAAAATTAACTTGTTGGATTTATGGGACAATACTACTAGACTCCATTCAACATTAACTTGCACCTTTTGAAGTCATTTACATTGGTGCAAACTGGCTGCATAATGCTAACAAACAAGAACTAGCAGCAATTAATTGGTCTCACAATCTTTAATTATACGTTTATACACCTTCCAGTACAATTAGCTCCACAGCTGGGATAATTCAGGGTTATGGAAATACAAATAATAAAATGTATCATCGACCTGAATGCTCAGATATTAGTGGCACTTGTGTATAC